CGAATCATCCGAGATTCCGAGTCTGGCGTACCAATTTAAATAATTAATTTAGTTTTGTGCATAGATAATTTTGACCACGACGTCCCAAGACAACCATACTGCAATGGCGATTAGTTGCAGGGATGGTTATCCACAAAGTTAAACTAGAGCTACAGCGGCTTTCTCCCCCATCCCAAAATCATTTGAACCTTGAATGAATCAACGACGCGCGGGGTCATTTGTCCTCCCAATGGCACTCTTTCCGAATCCTAGCGCTTTGCTCCAGTATACATCCGGACGCCTCAGAGCTCTTCTTCCGTGCTTCCAACCATGAATTCTTCGTTCTCCCTGCATCAATGTTCCGCCTTGGTCTTGACCTATACTTATATCTTGAATTCCTTTGACTTGGACACCGGATGAAGTCCATCATCAACATCTTGAGGACAGGATCCTTAAAACTTGGTGAGTCGGCTCATTTCGAAAATGAAAAACAAGGATATTTGTCTATACTCTTTGCCTGGGAGTCGAACCCAGCTTTCGCGCGATCCAGCATGTTACACATGACAGGCGCATGTACTAACCGATATATCATATACTTACTAGCAAAGACATTCTATAAAATAGCACAACCGGTCTTGGCCAGTACCCTGCCCGTAAAACTTCATACTGAAGCAATCCGATCCTATCTCAGGGAAAACATGCTAGGAGGAAAGCATCAATAGAGTGAGTCTGACCTGCACAAAAATACCGAACTAGATTGTAACCGACTTTCAAAGCTTCAAGTTTGACCACTGGGGGCAGAGTGACACCCAGGCAGTACTTCCGTCTCCGCCTAATTCAACCACATCTGCGTCCTCCGCCAACAGAATGTATGACGCAAATTTTTTAACATTTGCCTTCGAATACAGGTCCTTGATTTTCGCGAGATCGCCACCTAGATCCGCACGTGAGACTCTGTTGCTGTTTTTACCTTCAGTACGCTTTTGCAAGGCTTGTATCAGCGGCTTAAAGTGAGGAGCAACAGATTTAGTGACACTAGGTTTCGATTCCGGGGATTGTAGCGGCTGTATTTTCGAAGTGCTGGTCAGCGCTTTTGTTGTTGCCGCAGGGGTCGCAAACTGCGAACGAAGCACATTGGGTTCGGGTATGCCACTACATGCGTTTGGCGATGGTGGCGTAACGCTTGCCAATGTACTGATAGGTTTGGCTAGCATTGCTACCTGCACGGGAGGAGGAGCAGGGGCAGGGCTATGCATGCTCTGTGTAGCTGGAATGAACGGCGGCGCAACTGATACCAAGGGTGTGCCATTAGAGATGACATCTCGGGGCGACAATTGCGTTGGGTCTGAAGTATTCACAATAGAATCACGATTTGCTGCTGGAACTGTTGGATGAACATTCATTTCTTGTATCGCACCATTCGGGGCATACGGGAATCCCTTGGGGAGCTCCGGCAGAGACGACCTTTGAAAGACAATGTTGCCATTGGTGACAAGCGTCGTGTGTTCCAGTCTATCGTCCATATACAGAGGAGACGAATTTGCTGATCTAAATGACCCAGGAGAGTGTGGTCGAGACGTTGCCCTTGAGGGGGCTCGCCACTGTGAGCCCGTATCACGATGGTGGAGAGAAATTTCTTGACGATCACCGAAGCCATTTATAGGGTGATGAGGGACTCGGAAATTGGATTCTGTATCGTTTGTAAGGCTCTCTGTCTGCTTTCCTTTTGAATCCAATGGTGTTGTCATCCTGCTTGCTTCGTTCACGGAACGAGATGTTCGATGGGCTGGTGGGGTAACAGGAGGTTCAGAAGTATCGGGTTCGCCGACGAACATTTCATTCCAGTTGAGGTGGGCGTTGGCATGAGCGAATAGGCTGGCCGGGGTATCTGTCGGACACATGACAACCACATTGTGCTTGCGATGCCGTAAAGTTGAAACTGCGTACGCAAGATCAAGATTGTTAGAAATGAGGAAAATTGTGGCAGAACTGGGATGGTCCATCGCAAAAGTGACCATATCAACTGATGAGGTCTGCTCAGAAGTGATGATAGATTAGAACGATGCAACTAACCAATAAGCATTGTATCCGTGACGGCCCTCCTTCCGTCATTGGGACAATATGTTAGAGAAACCCCAGATGACTGCAATTCAGTCCAGAGTGTCAAAGTTGACGAAATCTCCACGTAAGCCTTGAAAGAAATCACACTTCCAAAGGCGTGCGCCATGGAGCGAATTTTCTCCACAGTTGTGTAGCCAGACGCACTCGAATGAGGCGGAAGGCGTTCTGTAAGACTGTCGTTAGCATCCTTGACTAGGATGAGAAGGAGACAGACCCAGATCCCAAAATATTGCAACGTTCTCTGGTTGTCGCATGTTGAATGAGGGGAATCCGTCTATTCTAACCTTGCCCTCCTTAAAAGAGGGCCGTGAGAGAAAAGAAGCTCATTGAATTGCACTGCGCAAAGCCTGGATGACACGAGGCGGTTACATGAGTAAAACACGAGAACGTACGGCATGTATCAAGCGCATCGACTCGCACAAACGTTGAGAATATGTATTAGTGAAGAAAACTTCATTTC